GCAGTTCGAATCCACCAGCCACACCTTGGAAACCCTATGGGGTCATCATACTCTGTCCTGTAGGGTCGCTGTGAGTTGGAATTGACTCAGTGGCTGGTTTTGGGTTTATATATGGAGCTCTGGTAGCACAGTGGTTAAAGTGCTTGGCTGCTAACCAAAAGGTTGACGGTTCGAACCTGCCAGCTGCTCTGCAGGAGAAAGATGTGGCAGTCTGCTTCCATAAAGATTTATAGCCATGGAAACCGGATGGGGTCATTCTTCTCTGGCATATAAAAACCAGAAAGAACAAACCCATTGGCATCGAGTCAGTTCCGCCTCATAATGACCCTATTAGACAGAGTGGAACTGCCCCACAGGGTTTCCAGGGTGCAGCTGGTGGATTTGAACTGCTGATCTATTGGTTAGCAGCCAGTCTGTTAACCACAGCACCACCAGGGCTTCGCTCTGCCCTATATGTCTACATGTGTATATGTATGTAGATATATAGATGAAAGTATAGATATTTATAAATGTAGACATAGATGTATCTATATGTTTTAATTTTTTTAAGCAGAGAAGGAGGAAAGAATTTAAGTTCTGGAAAGAAACTATTAACTGTTAATCTTTAAGAGATAAATGAACTTTTTCAGGGTGTCCTTTTTATGTTAGATTTTTCATAGAGTTCTAAATGAGGCCCAGAAAATTAATTCTGATTAATGGTGCAGTTTTATATACCATAGGAATAAAATCACTTGTTTTTCTCCCTTGTTAGGGTCTAATAATATTTATTAAAAAGTAGAATGGAAAAAACTGTGTGAATGTTTGAATGCTGTAACTATTTGCAACATAGGAAAAATGAGGATTGTTAAAGGAAAGTTTGCTAATATGCCCAAACTCTTGCCTTGAAACAGCATTGGGTAATTTCATAGCCAGGAGACTGAGTCTCCAGCTGCTTACTGGGGTCTATATGAGCAGAAAGGTTGGCAGTTTGACCCTACCCGGAGGTGCTTCTGAGGACAGACCTGGTTATCTGCTTCCAAAAGGTCACAGCCTTGAAAACCCTGTGGAGCAGTTCTGCTCTGCACTCATTGGGTTGCCATGAGTGGGAATCGACCTGACGGCAACTAACAACAACAACAAACCGTAGTGGAGTGTTTTGTGAAGTGATAAGAAATATTTAATGTAGACAACCATTCTTAGAAGCACAACTGAATTTTTCTTTTTGATTTGTAGGGAGAATGATGAATCAGTAAAAGAAGAGAAATCTGACTTGAAAGAAAAGTCTACAGGAAATAAGAAGGCAAATAGATTCCATCCTTATTCAAAAGACAAGAATTCAGGCACTGGAGAAAAGAAGGGTCCAAATCGTAACAGAGTTTTCATTAGCAACATCCCATATGACATGAAATGGCAAGCTATTAAAGATCTCATGAGAGAAAAAGGTAACTGTCTCTGAAATAACCCACTGTTGGACAGTCTTCATGTAGAAGGGATAGGAAGCTGAACGGACTTTTTTATTCTTCTGAGTCACACAGACTCAAAAAAAATTTATTTTTGTTTCTTTCATGACACCTGAATTAATCTTCTCCTCTTCTTTCACCCAACACAATCTCGGTACAAGGTAGTATGGGGAAATGAAGTATTTTTCTTTTTGCCATATTAGTGGAATAGTAGTGAGCCAGTATATGCATGCCACCAAGAATTTTGTTAAAGAGATTGCTTTGTCTTGTTGAAGTTTTTATAGATTTTTAAAGGACTACTGCATTAGCTAAGCAATACATTTAGCGTGTTAAAGTATGATTAATAAGGTCTGATTTTTTTTTTTTTTCCCCAAAAGCTGTTTTGTTATTACCTTGGTGGAGTCTGGAATCTGGCTGTGGAATTCACTTTGTTTGCATTGTCATGACTGCCATGATGCTGTCTGTGCAGTTCTACTTTAAATTTGCTTTACTGCTGTTGCAGTTTTGTTTTCAGAATAACCTGAAAACCTTCATCTTATACATATGGTTGGTTTTGGGGGAAAATAATTTTAATACTTGATCTTGTAAAAGTTAGTTTCGTTATCTCTTGAAAAATTGAGTTTCCACATTCCTGCAAACTATGTACTTGGTTTTGAGGCTGTTTTCTTCTAATAAATAAAAAATATTTGCACTGGTGTATCTGTTGTAAGGTGACAACTATTTGATTGGTTTTATGCATTGACTTTATTTAGAAAGTGTGGCTTGCTGTGAAGCATGACTTGTAAATTTAGTTTATTGATGGCAAACATGATTGAAGACATTCAGGTAGAAAGTCACCTTAAAACAGCTGTTGTGTGTAGGCTGACCAAAGTTATCTGAAAAGTGCTAATGTTGATGTTTTTAATATGATAGGCTAAGGGACCATTTGTATGTATATGTGCATTTGTTCACCAACTATATCATGCTGGCCAAAATATGATCTGCAGTATGAATTAGGTTAATATAGTTGTTAGCTTTTTTAGAGAATGTGGATGATGTACATTTCTGAAAATTAGTTAAATTCACATAGCCATTGATAGGAGGTATGTTGGTCTGGTTTTGATTGTTGGTGAATAATAGGTGCTTTTCTGTAGAGTTGTGCACAGGTGTGCAGTAAAGCAAGATATTGGTGTTTAAATGTATTGTTTCTTGGTATTTTCCTTTTGTATGTCTTATGTAGTTGGTGAGGTTACATACGTGGAGCTCTTTAAGGATGCGGAAGGAAAATCAAGGGTAAGTGCTGTGGGCAATAATCTGCTAGAGGTTTAAAAGTTCCTCAGCAGTTTACTTTTTGTATAATACTTGTACCAGTTTTTGGAAACTTAAGTTTCATTTTGTTTTAATTTATCATGCAAGATTTGAGGCTTTATACTAGCAAGTCTGACATTTATGCAAACCAAACTAGCTGCCTGGAAGGGATGGCTTTTGTAAATGCCCATAAAGGGCATTCCACTTTCCTAATGCTCTAAGGTAATGCTTCTTCTTAGCCAGTAGATTTTAACATAAGATTTTTTTTTGTTGTGTTTTGATGTCTTTAAGGATATTTTAAATCACTGAATTGATAATATTCCCTAAGATTAAGTTCTGTGAGAGGCCTATAGCTTAAAGGTGTTAATTCAGAATGTATGCTTAAAACTGTTACTGAAGAGCTTAATTTGGTAGCCTGCAGGATTACATAAGAGGCAGTGCTCTGACCAATTGGTATGAATGATACCAATGATTAAATCAACAGGGAAGGAATTGGTTGACAGCAGATTTTAATTTTTAGCAAGAAGAAAGCTCTCAAGGATGTTTAATTATAATAGCAAAAACCAGTTGAGTGGATAATAAAAAACATTGTCATCACATTCAAATGGCACTTTGAACAGTAATAATCACAAGGAATTATTTAAAAAAATGATTCTGCAACCTTCTTTCTTTAGCATAGGTGATATTTTTACGTACTTCTACAACTGGATGCTGTTAAATTGTGTGCAGCCAGTTTTCTGTAGCAGAGAACTTTGTTAAAAATGAGATTAATATCTGTTTCCTATTTTGATTTTTAATAGAATTGGAGAATATATAATCAAAACTATTTGTGCACAGTACATCTTTTGGAAATACTTGTGACTTGTAACTATGGTTATAATGGAGCCTTCAATTATTTTGACTGAATTTGTGCAATGACATTACTTTGGTTTTAACTGAAAGAAAAGTCATCTAAAAGTAAAACATGTTCCAAGCTTGTTAAAATGCTAGGATCTGAAGTAGATAGTTTTGTTTTGTTTTGTTTTTTTTCAATTTACAGAAAATTTATGGTCACTTGCCTGTTATGTTCTGGAGGTATAAAACATTAAAAATGATCTCATTATTGATTGCCTTTTAATGACTTAAATGTTAGACTCTACCATTAACTTCATCTACTGATCTAAAACTTTTTTTCTTTTGCATATATTGACAAATCTACCTGGATATAGGGTTGTGGGTAAGAACTTTTTTTTTTTTTTTTAAGTGTCTTTAGTCAAATTTAAACTCCTGATTTGGAAAAAAAAAATCTCAGTACTTAAGCATTGCCTATCAATTTTTTTCTCATTTAGTGTGGTTGAATTCAAAGATGAAGAATTTGTAAAGAAGGCACTAGAAACTATGAACAAATATGATCTTAGTGGAAGACCTCTGAATATTAAAGAGGTGAGATTTCTTACATTTGAAATAATCTAAACATTTGACTGTCAGGACATGTTTCCTCTGGGCTTTCATTCTTGGTAGTATAGTTGTGTGACTACAAATAGTTTTCTATTTGTCCATAAGCAGTTAATCCTATATGTTTGATTTACTCCAAGTTATTCTAAGCAGAGATGCATAATTTAAAAAAAATCTCAGGATCCAGAAATTTAAAGGACCCAGAAATTTAGGTACCGACTTTATTCAGTATAGACATTTTAATTTTTAGATTATGGCCTTTAAGAAATACAGTAGGTATTCTTGTAGTCGATAATTAAATGTTGCTTCATTATTTACTAATGCAGATATCTTACAGATTTGCAGAAAACAGATGATCACTTTTTATAAAATTAACCCAGGAGTTATGCCACATTAAAATTTAAGAAAATTTATAAATCTGTTTGTGAAATTTATAACTGGAACTTGGAAAATCCTAAAATGCAAATGCTCCTTGTGTGTGAGATTATAGCAGTATAAATATGTGGAGTGGAATTGTCAGAAGATACATGAAATATTTATAATTAGATGTAATTTGCCTAGGGAATGATTACCTTGGATAGTAATCATTTTCATGGACTCTGTTATTTTGTATTGTTAAGCCTATCTGAACAGTTTGATCGTGGACCAGTTCTGCACATATCCTTGCTACAATCTTTGTTAAAAGGTGTAGAGGACCCTAGAGTCTCCACCAGCACAGATGCTAATCATTGATTGTATAGTGGCACTGTCAACCTTAGCGTTTAACTCCATATAGCACTGATTTGAGTTCCAGCCCCCTCACTTTCTCGCTGTATGACTAGACATGTTACTTAACTTCTCTAAGTCTCTGTAATTGTAATAATACCACTGACAGTACTTACCCGATATGGTTTTTATGAGGATTAAATAAGATAGGCTCTGGCATCAGAGAACCTTTGTGACCTGGGCAAGTTCCTTAACCTCTCTGTTTGTTTCCTTATCAGTAAAATGGGGATAATAATAGAACCTACCTGATAGTTGTTGCTATGAGGTTTCAAAGAGTTAATATCTATAAACCACTTAATAAATGTTAGCTAGTTATTATAATTGTAATGTTACAGAAAGCACTTAACACATTGCTTAAAATATTGTAACTACATAATAAACGTTAGCTAACAGTGATAATTATGGTTGTTATTATTTTTGTCCAAGGTGGGAATTTAGTAGTTGTTAGTCTTTTGTTCCTGAGTGTAAGGTGCTAATAACTTAAAATTAAAGCCCATGCTTACTAACAAATAAAATTATCCCAAATCCGTTTATTGGAGTCAGCTCAAACATTTTCTAACCCTGTTTGAACATGGGGGCTTACTTAGGCTTTATTTATTTTGTTGAAATTTTTTGACAGGGAAGTACAGAATTGGTAAGGAAAGAGTTTAGATTGATGTGGTCTTTACCAGCCCATTTACTTGGTGGTTCTTATGCATAGACCAGAACCAGTATTTTAGAAATGTGTCGGTATTCAAATAATTATTCATAAGGGTGGTATTTGTAGACTAGCCACCCTTATGGGAAAATTATTATTTGAGACTTATAATTTGCTATTTATTCATGTCTGCTATTCCTCTTCAAAGGACAAATCTTTTAGATTCTCAGTGTCTTTTTTTAAATTTTTTTGGAAAAATGTTAATTGGATGATAAAAGCTGAGGCAGTGTTGTGTTAAGTTTTAGCATGTTATGGATCCTCGGTAATATTTCAGAGACCTTGGGATAGAGTTGGGGCTGTGGTGGCGCATTAGTTAAATGCTTGGCTGCTAACTGAAAGGTTGGTTGTTCAAACTCACCACTCCATGGGAGAAAAGACCTGGCGATTTACTCCTGTAAAGATTACAGCCTAGGAAACCTTATGGAGCCATTCTACCCTGTCCTATAGGGTCACTGTGAGTTGGAATTGACTTGATGGCACACAGCAGCAGGATCGAGTTATACAGGAAGACCCTCAATGAGATGGATTGACACAGTGGCTGCAGTGATGGGCTCAAGCATAGTGATGATTGTGAGGATGTGACAGGACCAGGCAGTGTTTCGTTCTGTTGCACATAGGGTCGCTATGAGTCAGATCTGACTCGATGGCACCTAACAACAACAATATAAGTTTGTATAATATACCTCCATTTTTAACTTTTTTTTAATAGGTCAAGTGGTTATGTTTGGTTTAGCTTAAAACTGAGGCATTCTTTATTCAGTTAATGTTTTTTGGATTAACATCACTAAAAGTAGTCCCTTTCCTAGGAATACCTAACTTACAGATGAGTGGCTGGGGTCAGTGCTTAGAACTACTAGTGAAATGAAAATCTAAAGAAAAGTATATTTTCAGTGTTTCTTAACAAATATTAGAATTACATTTTTTCATTTAGTAATTAAATGGAGATTAGCAACAATTGTAAAATTATTATAGGGCCTCTACTAGCAATAGCAGGAAGTGACTGGCAGGCTGACATCAAGAGGGAAAAGAGGAGTACATGACTTGTTTTATTTTATGTACATTTTGTTTTTTATGTGTTTTATATAATATACATACTATATATGGATAAAATAACACATAGGGATATGCTTTATTAATGGTAAGGACAAACAGCCCTAATTATCCTAATAGTTCAGGGAGCATCTCCTCTACTATGTCTTCCTCCTTCCCCTGTAGGTAACTACTATCCTAAATTTTGCATTTTTATAAGGTTTTGAAACCTCAGACCTGAAGTAATGTTTATATTTATTAACCTAAATGTTTCATAGTACTTTTTGAAACATTTGTTTCTTTTTTTCTATATTTCTTCAGATGGAGAAATACATTGGAAGACGACATACCTTTATTCTTACACTGACTTTTTCTCCTCCTATTTTCCCAGCTCTTAAGAGAATTTATTAAGGTCATACAGCTTTCCTTTTGTTAGTATTCCCAAACTGAGGCCAGCAGAGTATGACTGATGGTTATGTTCAGCATGATCGTTTGGTGTTCAGATGATAGTTTATCAATGTGTTTTGTGTTTGTTTGTTTTTTTAAATGGGTCGTTTTTTTGCATTTCACCTTGTGGGATGAGTGAGAAATACATTTAAACTTGCTATTTTTTGCTTAAAGGGTAATTGTGTTATAAAACTAATGTACTTTAAAAAAAAAATAACGTTTAGTATTATTCTTCATTGAACACTTAGCCTTCCATTATCTTTTCCTCCCACCTCAGATCATGATCATTGTTGAGGAAGAAAAGAGGTAAAAAGGTGAATAATTGTATTCTGTTTAGGAATGAAATTTTATGGGTTAGGATAAAAATAGTTCCCCCTTTACCCCAGTATCCCTGCTCCTAACAACGGTCTGTTGCAGTGTTGAGAAGCTTTGAATTAGTCTGAGTTTGGCATTGCATTGGGGGCTTCCAGTGGTGGGAATTCACCGTTACTGAATTTTGGAACCTGAAGAATCACAGTAAGTGCTTTGCTCCTCTTCGAGCTATGTTTATGTCCCATATATTTATATATTAGTGTGAGGGCAAAATTAAACTGATGTCAAGTTCTTAAGTAGCTTCAACGATTGGAAAGAAGTACTTAACCGGCGCCTCTGGAGACTGAAATCTTTTATCTGTCCACAGGTTTTTATGGAACTCGATTTTCTGGATGAAAAAAAAACTCACTGAATCTTCAAGAGGGTCAATAATTTGAGTCAGATGGGATAGCTACTGTAGAATTTGAAGTTGTTACTTTAATTGTGTATATAGATTTACTGATGTATCTAGTGGCATTTAACATTCAATGTGTTACAGGATCCTGATGGAGAAAATGCTCGTAGGGCATTGCAACGGACAGGAGGATCATTTCCAGGAGGCCATGTCCCCGATATAGGATCGGGGTTGATGAATTTACCACCATCCATTCTCAATAATCCAAATATTCCTCCTGAGGTTATCAGTAATTTGCAGGCTGGTAGACTTGGTTCCACAATTTTTGTTGCTAATGTAAGTTTAAGCTTTAGTCTAAAATTTTGCCATTTGGGATATTTAGCTCTAATCATTAGTTTATTTCATTAGATGAATGGGTTATGAGTTTATAGAACATTTTGCTTGTTTTTAGCTAAAGTAAGTAAAACAGTAATGATCGTATACTCAAACCCTATTGAAGTCTGTATATAAGATTAGAGTGTAAATAACTATTTAGGGTTTTTATTAAAAGGGAACTGTGGAATTTATAAACTTAAGCAGTTCTTCAAATTATTTTTATGTATTTTTGTTAATATTGGTAAATGGATTTATTTTAGTTTGATATTTGTGAAGGTGCATGTTGTAATTGGTTTGTCCTTTGTTCTAAGCTTTTGAAACTCGTCAGAATTTTAACTTCTCTCAGTAAAAGTAGGTATACAATTTTCAAGTGTACAAAACAGAATTGAGCAGTTGAGAGACGATTTTGGGAATAAAAAAATACTTAAGGATAGAGGGTCAGGATAGATGTAGCTTAACTGATTTTAAACAACTTGTTTTTTATTTGAGCATCACTGATATACTGTGTAACAAGAATTATAATTCTTCACAGTTTTGAGAGTTGAGAAAAGATTCTTTTGTATTCTTTATAAATGCGGAAGGAGGGATTTATTAGGTATGTAACTTTATAAACTTTTATGTTAAGCTTGACTTCAAAGTTGGTTGGAAGAAGCTCAAGGAGGTGTTCAGCATAGCTGGAACTGTAAAGCGGGCAGATATTAAAGAAGACAAAGATGGCAAGAGCAGAGGAATGGGCACAGTCACTTTTGAACAAGCAATTGAGGCAGTTCAAGCAATTTGTATCCTGATTGATATTTTACCATTGTTTAATGAGGTTAAAGAAGCTTGATGACATTTTGTGGAGGTTATGGAATTTAAGGTTGCCTGACTAGAAATACATGTTAAACTTTAGTCGCTAGCACTCTTAAAACTTGAATTAGCTATAATGTACAGGCCTGGTAAGAACTTTTTTTCACTTTTCCTGCCTGCCTCAACTAATTGTATGTATACATACTTTTGACAGTTATGTAATCCATTGTGCATTAATGCAATTGCTTTTGTTTAAATGAAGCAGTGCTAATTTTTTTTTTTTGGTAGTTTGATTAAAAGATTATATTTGATTTATAAAATTATAAAGCAAAGAATTGAAGATTTTATTTTGAGTATCTGGAGGAGGCTCATACTAATAAGTAAAATATTAAAGATGTTACTTAAGATATTAGAAAGAGTCTGACTCTAAATAAAATGATTAATCATTAGTTTGTGTTCAAGTATAATTTTACAGTCACCTTAACTGGCTTTCCTTGACTGAACCCACAGCTATGTTCAATGGGCAGTTTTTATTTGATAGACCAATGCATGTGAAAATGGTGAGTTCCTGTATATTGCTTCAGCCTTCTCTAACTTGTTCTCCTCTGTATTACAGTTCTTTATTTTTTGTTATTTATTAACCATATAATTTTTTTTTTGTTATTAACCATATAATAAACTTTTTTGCAATTAGGATGACAAGTCTGTTCCTCACGAAGACTACCGGTCTCATGATAGTAAGGCACCACAATTACCACGTAAGTAAAAGCTGTTATTAGAAATTACGTGGACTATCCTTTTTCATCGTTATTATATGCTGAGCAAACTATTTGCTTTTGTGCCTGCATCTCAAGTTGTTCACAGTTTGGGATTAGTTTGAAGTCATGAAGGTAGTTTGACATGATTGATTAGGGAGACTGAGAACATAAATGTTATGCATCATTGTTTTCGTTTTGGTGTTTTTTTCCTGATCATAAAAGTGATACATACCAAAAAATTTCACAAGTTTATGTACAAGAAGGAAAAGTTCCCTTGTAACTTTTCCACCTACAGGTAATCACCATTATAACATTTTTGTGTATTTTCTTCTATTCTTCCATGTATGTTTTTCTTACGTAGTTGTAAACTACCATATACATAATTTTGTATTTTTTTAACATTAGCGTATAAGCAATTTTTCATGTTGAAAATTCTTTCCAAATGTTTTTATTGGTTGTATAATAGCCCATCTTATGGATGTTACATAATTGCTTAACTATTTCACTGTTATGTATATTCAGGTGTTTTAACTTTTTTAATAACGAACAGAGTAATCCATGTCTTTTTGTATATAAATCTTTGGTATGTTTTTGGTTATTTTCTTCTGAGGCATGACTTGCTAGGTTCGAACTGCTAACCTTTTGGCTTGTAGTTGAGCACTTAACCACTTGTGCCACCCAGGGACTTTTTAAAAATAGGTATCCTGAGGTAGATTTACAGGTTCTCAAGGTATACCCATTGATTAGTATTAGCAAATTGTTTCCCAGAGAATTGTAAAACAACAGTGTAATGTATTTTACATTTCAATGCTTCATCTGCAATGTGGGGATAATAGTGGTGCCTACTTCTCAGGGTGGAATGAACATTACATTAATGTGTTAGAGCAGTTCTGGCATGATATAAGCACTCAATAAATATTATCTACTACATTATTGTATCTTCTCTAGTTATTATTATAAAATATTTTAAGTATACAGACCAAAAAATAATGATCACTCATGTAGCTATCAAATGCCATATTTGTTTTGGGTGTTTTTTTCTTTAAAAGAAATAAAAGTTTACAGATAAAATTGAGATTCCCTCTTCCCCCTACTGCCACGTCTCACCAGATAGCTTATTCAGAGCAAACAACTTTTGAATTTAGTGTTTAACATTTAGATGTTTATACTTTGACTGCACATTTAGACATGCATAAATATTATATGGAATTATTTTGCTGGCTTTAAAACTTGGTGTGAATGATGTATTGCACATAATCTGCATCTTGCTATTTTTGGATTAATATTTTTAAGATTCATTTGTGTTGATAGATGTAGCCCTAGTTCGTTTATTTTAACTGCAAATAATACATTTTTTCATTTTCCTGTTTTTTTAGGTTATTCTTTTTTTCTGTTACTACAAACAATACTATAATGGACGTTCTTGTTTATGTCTCCCTGTGTATATGTACAAGTGTTTATTTATTGTATGTGTATCTAGAACTGGAATTCTTGGTTTATAGGTCTTGAACATCTAAACTTTGTAAGATACTGCCATAGTGCTCCCTGAAGTGGTTGTACTGACTTATACTTCATCCACTGATTTATGAGATTTTTCTTTACATTCTTAAAGGACTCTTGAATAAAATGCTGTCATTCCATTTGAATTTCTATTTTCATTTTCCTGGTTGCTAGTGAGATTGAAGAGCTTTTCATGTGATTATTGGCCATTTATGTTACTTTTCCTGTGAATCACCTGTTTACTTCCTTTGCTTTAGTAGTTTGTTTTTTATTTACTTCTTATTCATTTTTAAGTGTTCTCTGTATATTTGGAATGCTAGCATGCTTTCAGTTGTGTTCTACCAATCTGTTACTTGTCTTTTGTTTAAGATGTCTTTTGTGTGTAGAAGTGTTAAATTTTAATGTAAAATTTACTAGTCTTTTCCTTTTGGGTTTAGGCTTTTTGTACCTGTTTTCCTTTATTTTAAAGTAGCAACTTTAGATCTTTAATCCATTTTAATTTGGTTTGTGTATATGGTTTGATGGAGAGATCTACTTTTACTTTTTCTCATGAATAATAAATTGTTTCAGCCATATTTGTAGAATATTCTTCTCCAAGGATCTGTCTTACAAGTTCTGATACCTGTGTGAAGGAATATGTATTAACACACTGTCTTAATTACTGGCTTTATACTAAGTCTTTAGCTTTGGTAGGTTCTGACCTCTGCTACCACCACTCCCTCTGTGTTCTTTTCCTTCAGATTGTTTGGCTATGTTTGGCTATTTGGTCTTTCATATGACTTTTAGGAGATAAGCTAGTTATGTTCCATTATAAGGCTTATTTTGCTTTTGATTGGAATTGATATTGTTACAATTTGGACTTGTATTATGACCTATTATGTGGCATATTTTTATAAATATTCCATGTGTGCTTGGTGAGTGCAGTGTTCTGTATATGTTCATTAAGTCAAGTTTGTTAATCGTTTAAATTATCTTACATCCTTACTAATTATTTTGTCTGCTTGTGCTGTCAATTACTGAGAGACTTATATGGTAAAATCTCCCACTAGAATGGTGATTTGTCTGTTTTTCCTTATTTTTACTTTAAATACCTTGAAGCTAAGTTAGTGAGTACATACAAGTTTAGAATTGATAAATTTTCTTAGTGAACTCCAAATTTTATCATTAGAGTGAATTTATGCATACCTAGTAGCGTATAAGTCTTTTGTCTGATATTAAATAGGTATGACAGCTTTGTTTAGAATTTGCTTGATAAATTTTCTTCTTCTTTTATATTTTTAGTGTTTCATATGTGCCACTTTTAAGCAACATTATAGTTGGCATTAGATTTTTAAAAAATCGGTCATAGAGCCTTTTCCATGAAAGTGAGTTAGTTTATTCACATTAATTTTTTTATTTGGCTTAATTCCTATTATTTTGTGTTCAGTTTTTCTCTTTTTACAAATATTTATTTTTCTCCTATCTTTCTCTGTTAGTGATTATCCTGAATATTTTAATATTTCTATTAAAGCCTGGTATTAATATAATTATTACTGAATAGTAAAGTGACCTTTGAATGGCTTGATTTCAATTACCTGACTGAATTATATGCTATTATTTCTCTGCTCTAGTTCTGTATCACTGCTTTTTTTCAGTCCCACAAATTAGACATTATTATTTATCATTTTCATGTCTCATTTCTCTACCTTCACAGACTCTGGCATTATTTTATCCCCCCGAGCATATCTTTTATAAGCTCTTTTAATGGGGCTCTGTTGTTAGTAAATTCTCTCAATTTTATCTGTAAATATCTTGAAAGGTAGTTTCACTGGTTATATAAATAAAGATTGATAGTTATTATTTCTCAGCACTTTGAAAATATTCTACAACTTTCTGGCTTCCGTTATTGCTATTAAGTCAGCTGTCAAGTTGTCATTTGTGGGTAATCTATAGGAGTTCTGGTGGTGCAATCGTTAAGTGCTCGCCTGCTAACCAAAAGGTTGGCAGTTTGAATCCACCAGCCTATTTGCGGGAGAAAAGACCTGGCAGTCTGCTCCTATAAAGATTACAGCCTAGGAGACCTTATAGGGCAGTTCTACTCCGTCCTACAGGGTCACTATGAGTCGGAATTGACTTCGACAGCACACAACATGTTTTTCATGTAGGTGATTTTAAGATCTTGTGTTTGGTATGCAGTTTTACTACAGTGTGGGTATGGATTACTATTAATTGGACTTTCATGATCTGAGAATTCATTTTTTAAAAATTTCTACTTTTTTTTAATTAAATTTTTTAATGTGTATTAGGCGAAAGCTTAACATAGCAAATTAGTTTCCCATATGATAGTTTGTACACAAAGTGTTCCATGTCATTGGTTCCATTCCCCACAGTGTGCCTCCTCCATTTCCGTCCTAGATTCCCTGTTTCTGCTTGTCCTGAATTGCTACCACTTTGTGCCTTCTCATCTTTGCTTTTGGGCAAATGTTGCCCTTTTGATCTTGTTTAATAGATTGTTTTAAGGAACATGTTCCTCTTGGGTGTTGTTTATTTTGTAGGCCTGTCAATGATTTGACTGATCAGTGGTCTCCAGTAATGACTTAAGTTCCAGTTCAGGTGTCTTAAGGCCATAGTCTTGGGGGTTCCTCCAGTCTCTGTCAGACCAGTAAGTCTTGTCTTTTTTGTGAATTTGAGTTTTTGTTCCTCAGTTTTTCTCCCGCTTTGTCTGGTTCCCTCTGTAGTGATCCCAGTCAGAGCGGGTTGGTAATGGTAGCTGGACACCATCTAGTTCTTCTGGTCTTGGAGTCATGTCGGCTGTGGTTCATGTGGTCCATTAGTCCTTTGCACTAATTGCTCCTTTGAGTCCTTGGTTTTCTTAATTCTCGTTTGCTCTGTATGGTAAGAAACTAATAGTTATATCTTAGATGGCTGCTCACAGGCTTTTAAGACCTTAGACACTACTCACCAAAGTAGGATGCAGAACTTTGTCTCATAAACTATATTGTGCCAGTTGACGTAGATGTCCCCTGATTCTATGGTGCTTCACCTTCACACCTAGGAACTTGGTCCTGTGAGGTGTTTGGTTTTGTCTAATAAGTTGCCCTGAGTGTGGCCCTTGTGTACTCTATCATCTATAGTGATATATAAGCATCACTTACAGTTATGTATGTAGAGATGTCCACCACCAGTCATATCTGCAGATGAATGTGTTCCTTTATACCCTTCCACACCTCTTGCCATATCTAGCTATGTATCCATTCGTAAATTAGTGTTTGTTAATACAGTTGTTGCAGGATTGTCTATACTAATTACTGTTGTTGCTGTTTGCTCTTGTATTTTTCTCAGTGTCCTCCCATGCCTTGGTTGTGTTTTGTTGACTTCCCCCATATTGTGTATTGCCTTTCCCTTCACCAAAAGTAATACTTGTCTTCTATCTGTTCGATAATTTTCCGTCTCCCCCCCATTGCCCTAGCCCCCATCCCTGATAACCTTTTTTAAACATTTTTTCTCCCCCTGTGTATAAA